TCTTTGTTTATATTTCTGTATTTTCAGGAAGAGGGCTATTTAAAGGAAGTCAAGCTGATTGTGGAGATCCTACGAAGTGCACTTTACTGCAATGATGAGTGCAAAGTGAGCCTCTGTGTCTGCCTTTTAATTTCCCATTGTGTGATTTTCGTGTGACCCTCAGAATCCCAGTGCTGTGCCTGTAAATGAGATTTACGTAAATGTGCAAGAGGCTCTGCTAGCATCTCAGCAAATTTAGCATCTTAAGCTCTATAAAAGCATTACTTATGCAGCATATTTGCTAGTTCTTACGGGTGGTTACCTTGGACTCAGTAGCCACTTTAAAAGACATTAAGAAAGTTTATGTTGATTACTGCCACCTGCACTGTTGTAAAAATCAGGGTTTTCTCTAATGTGTTTTAATTTACATGCCTGTATATAGAGCTTTTCCTTTGCTTGTGCTGTATGGGTGTATACTCATTTGTATTTGTGCATGTAGGTGGTGGCCACTGATGCTCGTCTAACATTGGCACTCTATGCTCTTTGGCCTTGGATCCTATTGGATGACCCCATCATAGAAGCAGTGCTGGAGCTTCTGTGTGTTTATACAGCCAACTGCACCAAAGGTCCGTATGTGCGTATTTGGTTTGTCTATCTATATGTCTGTGTGTTTGTGCAAGCACTGTCCTTGCCTGTGCCTGCGCATCACCTCTGTCTGCAGTTAGCAGTCCAACTGAGTTACGCAACTACTTTGCATTAAGAGCCCCATTGTCCTCACCAGTGACCAATGAACAACATTGTCTCACTGTACAAGACCAGCGCCTGCTTGCCTGGCAGTCACAATGAGCGCAGTGTCAGGGTCTGTGAATCAAGCTGCATGGCTGCTTCACTGTATGTGGGAGATGATGTGGCAATGTTGGTATTCCACCATGCAAATGTACAAGCTCTGTATATGGAAATTAGAACAGCAAAAGACTTAGTAAAGAGGGAAGGTGAGATTCAAGAGTATGGAAATTTTACTTTCATAAACTGCTTGTTGTCCCTTTGATTTGTTTGTATGTCTATGTATGCATGTGGCTGGTATGGTCGTGCAAGGGAAATCAGTTTTCATCAGTGAAGGAACGGAAGTATCATGTTCAACACTTGCAAATGTTTCTGTGTGCATGCTTGTTTCAGTTTGATTGGCACCGGTTGCTCAGTGGGTACGTGTGCTCTGATCTAAACTCACTCGCTTTAGACCCCCCATACGCTCAAGCTGTGAAGCACCAGAAATCAGTGAAGTCAGGCACAGAATTTCCCCAAAGGTTGACTGAACAGCAGGTTGTGTTCACGCTGCATGCAGCCAGGCTCAGTATTACACCATCCACCCTCGGGCTACCATTTTTTTCTCCTGAGACTACATTTCTTCTGCATGTTTAATCTCCAGTCATCCAAGGCTTTGTTTGCACTGCAAGTTCAATTCATGTTGCTGTTTTCGTCTGTGCCACACTTTTTCAGATATTTTTGTAGCAGCCTTGAAACTTACTCACAAAGTTTTTTCTTCCACATTTTTTTTGGTATGATTATTCCTATATGTTGCTTGTTTGCAAAAATTAATCAGATCTGATGCACTAGTGGGAATGAATGGCCTTAATGAGAATAAATTGTTGCCGTAGCCCAGGGCTAAATAATGTCCATCCTTCCCAGAGTCAGTAAGGTTGTTGTTGTCAGTAAGCTGTCACGGTGAATGAAAATTAAAAGCCAATTTAAAAGATGAAAATCTTTGAGGTGTTTTTATGCTCTCTGATTCAACCTGAAATCATTGGTGTTTTTATGCTCTCTGATTCAACCTGTGAAACTCATTTCTTTTTCATTTCTTATTGCAAAACTCTCTATTCATCAGGAGCACTGTTTTGAGATGGCTGTTGGCTACTTCTGGCTTTTCTTTCTCCTTTATTTTGTCTTTGTACAAGCGTTTGGCATTTGGCTAGACAGCTATTACATAAAAACAATCCAGGTATGCAGAGGTGTTGGTCAGACAACCGTGCAGACCAAGAGGTCTGTTTGTATTTTTGTCTCTTCTGGGACTGCTGACTGGCCAGCTAGCTAGCTTAAAGATATACAAAGTAGAAACCAGTTCTGACAATAAAAAGAACTGTCACTGTTTGGTTGTTGTAGTTGTAACTGTAAGTTGCAGGCAATAATATTGTGTTTGCACCTCTGTCAGGAAGAAACCCTTGTTTTAGAGATGTAAAAGTTCTATCAGTGTAGTACTCATGATTATTTTTTTCTCCTCTCTCTCAGCATGTGGTTCTCTTTGTGGCAGTGGCTCTGGTGTTACACCAGGCTCTAAAGGCACCTCAAGCAGCTCTCTGATGCACTCCGTCATGAAGCTGGCCACAGGGCTTGCCCCAGACAACAGCTCCACCCAGAAACTTGCCTTCTCTCTCTTGACTAACCTTGCATTGTCTCGTGACTGCAGAGGTCTCCTCCAAAAGGTCCAAACCTGATACATAGTGCATAACATTGTGGACCAGACACACACCTCATAACCAAATCAAAGAAAAGATTCAAACAGTAATATGGAAATAAATTGTGCTTTTTCTTTGAGCAATACAGAGGATTCAGAATGTGTGAGCATCACATCCTTCAATAAAAGTGAGATGTGCTTTAGAATAATCTTATTCAGTTGAGCCAGTTCAACAGTTTTAAATTTATTGTTAACTGGCTGTGAAAAGAAATTTACAAGTTAAATAAATTCAGCTTAAGTGAGATATACAGTGTTAGAAATAAAAAAAATTCATGGCACATGCCTTGAGCTTTTCTCATACTGTTCAAAATCTCACCCTCACACTTCACACTATTCTGGCTGAGGAAATTGGTTCTAAAATAATCTGTTCACATGATTCTAAAACTCAATCAACTTTTTCTTGTCTGCTTCCTTTTTTGTGATTTTCAGAATAATTTCCTGCAAGCCTTCTTGTCAGTGAAGGTGCCAAAGGTGGGTGGTGTTAAGGCCACATCTTTAGGTGGTGGTGGTGGTGGGAGTCTTCTGAGCCTGTGGCTGAGGCTACTGGTCAGTCTGTCATTTGTGGAGGATGGCCAGCAGAGTATCCTTAAGGTGACCGGAGCCCTGGAACTGCTGGCAGATCTGGCACCACACCGGCGCCATGCATTGCTCACCCTGCACAACCTCTGCTTCTGCCCTGCCAACAAGCCACACATCATTGCTAATGGTATGGAAGGGAAGCAGTGGTTAAAGTTACTTGCTTAACACCTAACCCCTCATGCAGGGATATTTATGTGCATGCAGGGATATTTATGTGCTTAAGTGAGACAAACAAAAACAGATTAGTTTTTTGGAGATAATCAGCATTTCATATGTCCACAGCGTCATCCAGTAAGTGTAGTAAGATTATGTCCAACTATATATAACACTTCGCCTTCCTTCACTGTAGTTTTGTAAAAACAGAAGTTGGCTTTTCTTGTCTTACTGTATGTTATTTTTATTTTGTTCATAAGGGACACGGTCTGTGGAAAAAAGCTATTCCTGTTCTGGGTGGATTTTGTTTTTAGGGCCCCTAAAATGACTTCCAGAGGGCAGCAGTTGTGATGTGGGAGGCCACTTATTATTATTATTATTATTATTATTATTATTGATGCTATGCTAACCACCTCTTGGCTCGTGCTCCTTGCTTAAGAGACAGACATAAGCAGTATTGATGTAATCAGCTATACTGTAACTCTCATCTTGAAAGCAAAAAAGTACAGGAAGTTGCAGAGACGACTACATGAGGTGCAGGTGGGAGTTAGATAGAGAGGTGGGTGGAATCTGTCGTGGTATTTGTTTCCTTTGCTAAGGTCATGTTTCCTGTGCATGTTCTGCTTAGTGTCATCTTGGCAAATCAATCTCCACTACAGGAAATGTCTGAGATGGCCACATTGCCATTGTCAAATCTTATGTTCCAAAATGTAAAACGAATGTGGCTGAGGTCACACAGATAATCATAGTGTGATGAAAATTTGAAAAAAAGCCTTTGTTCTGTGTTTGGTATGTTGTGCTCTCCAGGTCAGTGGTCTTTTATATGCCAATACATAATGCGTTTTGATAACTACGATCTCTTTAACAGGTGTCGCTCTAATCATTTTGAATTAAAGAATGTGCTGATCTTTTTTTGAGTACCTCTGGTATGTACATGTCTTTCTTCAGAGAAGGCCATCAAGGTGTTGCTATGCTGTCTGGAAAGTAAAGAAGTGGAAACCCGCTCTATGGGAGCATCTGCACTGTGGGCATTGCTCCACAACAATCAAAAGGTACACAAATGCCCCCAAGCATAAAAATATGGATTTTAGAGGCTGTGCATTTAGAGACTAGTATTGGAGCTTTTTGGTCATAATACAGTATGTAAAACAAAATCCTGGGGTGTCTTTACTCTTTCTGATTTTATGTCTGTTCAGTATAGATGAGTCTGCCATTGTACTCTTACATGGGCATGGTGAACCCTTTATATTTTATTATTGTAAACAAATAAAATACTTTCCTGCATTAAGACTCATCAACACAACTGTTCTTAATCTTTTTAACTTTCATTCACAGGCCAAAACTACTTTGAAATGTCCTTCTGTTAGACTGAGAGTTGAAGAGGCACATACCATCTCTAAGAAAGGTATACATGTATTAACTTTGATGCAGAATATCAGAATCTGACATGGCACTTAATGTTATCCTTATATTAGCATGTTTTGTTGTTTATATTGTGCTTTTTCCCTCTGAACTGCAGATGCAGAGAACAGGCAGAAGCCTACCAGTACCTACCTGCTGAAGTGCCTTGAAAACCTTTCCCAGCTGTTAAATAGCTGATTACATGTATACATTGTTGTTTTGTATTGTGTTTTATTGATGCATTTTCATATTAAAATGACAAGTGGCAGATCTCTGATACTGTTTTGTGTACAGATGATTTTTTTTGTGTGTGTGAAAACCAGTTGTGGTTTTAAACACCCTGTGTTTTGGTTGTTGTGATGCTATACCAGTGTTCATACCAAACCACCTTGGGGAAGTTGGTGGCACACAATGCATGCAAAGTTAATGTAGGAGTCTGCAGCCACACTAGCAGCTCTTTGAGCACAGAACACACAATTGCTTTTGCTTTTACTTTAAACTATTCGCTAACATCAGTATGCATAAAATGTTAATATTTACTATGTTCACCATATTAGCTTAGCAAGTTAGCATGCTAACATTTGTTAAACAGTAAACAGTGGATTGGGGTCAAAATGGATAAAAATGCTCTAATGATGGTGTTAGATGGAAGGTCAGGGGAATAGGCTAAAGCTTTTGAAAATCATCTCATGACAACAAAAGTCTGTCTTAAATTTCATGGCAATTCATATTTGAGGTATTTTAATAAAAACCACAAATGTGAACTCTATGGTGGTGCTGGAGGAAAAGTTATAGGGACACACAAGCCATTAAGATAAATCCTAACTGTGTTGTGGTATGTTTCTGACCCAGAACTGACTGACCAACATTGCTTAGATAAATGCTGCTAGCATGGCAAAAAAAGAGCACATTTTATTATCTAATATATCTTTTAATCATAAATGTATATTTTCTCAAAATGTATAAGTTCTCAAAAGTCCTAAGTGAAGTATAAAACTTGTTCATAAAAGCATTTATAAGTTGTAGAGTTTAGCTGGGGGGTAACATCAGTACAATTTAGAAAACTTCAGCATGGATCCCATTACGCTACATTATGCCAGAAGCTGGCCTCCCCTTCACAGCCTATGTGACAAAGTGCCCCTCTGTGTGGAATGAGCCAACAGTGGGCGACCATGAAGTGCTCCCCAATAAGCCAAGTGTTTCTCTGTAGCCGCAGTAGCAGGAAGTGCAGCTCGGGTGCCTCTTCACTTGTCTCATCAATGCAGCTTTCATTCTCCCTCAGTGGGGCAAGATGGAAGCTGTACAAAAGGACCACTGGTACTTTGTGGTACTCCTTTTTTTGCCTTTTATCAAAGGTATGGAATTGATATCTTTTTCTTAACTTTTTAGTAATTTATTCTCACGAGAGGCAACATCGTATCGTAAAACCTTTATTGATAATGAATGTGAGGTTCACTGTTTTTCAGGATACTATGAAAACTTGCATTTGAGTCTCTGTTTCCTCAGTCTCTTTGTTTTTAATACAGCCTAATTAGTAATTAAGCTTTTTTAATCCATAATTCCTTTTTTTGTTGCTGTTAAATTGGCTTGAAAGATAATAGTTATTGTAAGTTGTATTGCAATTTTCAGTCCTTATTCTAAATCAGCTAGAAGTCTCCCAAGGGCACCGCTGGGCTTGGAATCTGTTATTCAGCTCCAAGTCTTTGAAAATGTGGAAGCTTGATCGCTGACTATTGTCAGTCATGTTTATTTGTGCTGGCTTAAATTAGCCTAATTACCATTACCCAAGGGATAAAATCAAATTGCTCCTCCAACTAGAGGAGATTTAAAGAGAAAACATGTACTTTTAAGCCAAATTTCAAAGATGTAAACATAATTAATCAGCCTAAATTGAGGATTTCTGAACTGCTAAATGAAAATGGTAAAATGTAACCCATTACAAGCCTGCAGTTGATTTCTTCAATCGAATTCAGATGTTGTTTATTTTAATTTGATCTAATATGAAGATTATCATTTGTCACTGTAGTCTACATTAACACATTAACTGTAAATTCCTCTGTGCAGTTGCTGTCCAAAAGAATGAGGTTGCTACTGTTCGCCTGGAGGAAGGGATGGTTCTTGACTGTTTGTGCCCATGGGATGGCAGCCTCAGCTTGGTGTCCTGGACCAAAGCACCAGACAAGAATCCAATAGCTATTCTCCATCCAGAGTTGGGAGTGAACTTCTCTCATCGTTACAGGGAGAGGATTGAATTTCTGAGGACCACACTTATGGATGGAAGTATTTCTATAAGGAACGTCACTCATCAGGATATTGGGCTTTACCACTGCTCTGTTCAGACTTTCCCTCAAGGACCCTGGACTAAAGACATTCAGGTGGAGGATTTAGGTAAGGCAGCTGACACTGTTGATGTGGTAATTTCTTAAGAAATGACGTCATCAAAACATTAAACTAGAATTAGGTTTTATTCTCAGAAAATGGAGGTGGAAATTTTAACCTCTCTCAGATCACTCCCCCCCGCTTTTAGAAATTAAAAGAGAAAAACATTATTTAGTTTCCACTATGCATCTTTCTTCATGAGTCTATTTCCTGTGACCTTCACCTTCCTGTGTTTACAGATGATCCCCCAGAAGATGACAATAGCACAGAGCCCCCCTCCCCAGAGGTGATTGTGGCAAACACAGAGTTGATAGCAGAGGAGAACAGCAATCTGACCATCATCTGTAACCACCAACACAATGGGTCAGTTTCCCAAGCTCTTATGAAAAAGATGCCACAAGGCCAAGGCTGGAACACCATTGGTGTGTGTAAGAAGGAGGGGGGGAACCCAGTAAGTGAGAACTACAGCGACAGGGGCAGGGTCGTCTGTGCTGACAGCCTGGATGTCAGCCTGCAGCTGACAGCAGTAATGCAGGAAGATGGTGGTTACTACCGCTGTATCTTCACCACAGATGTGGGGGAGCAGACCACCACTGTGCTGCTCACAGTGCTCATTTCAGGTAAAGAGACAAATAAGTTAACATACAAGGACATATGACTGGATGATAAATTGTTTCTCATACTTAGTATTTTATGACTGTAAATGTCTGTCACAGGGTACAGTCACAGATGAAAGTGCATATATCTAAAAATAGTTTTGATATAAATCATATATGCTGTTTTGGATTTGCAAACAGACTGGCACCTGCTGAAACCACAAAAGCTTGTGGTGCCAGTCTGAACACTTTCGAATTGTGATTGTGTGTGCATGTTACAGGTTTACTGCAATGTGGTGTTGCATCTGCGAGACATAAAACAAGTCTGAAACAGTATCAGCCAACACATACAACACATAAACACACAACACATAAAACTACACTATTTGTTGTCATGTCATTTTCCTCTCTCTCTCTCTCTGTGTTTCATATATGTGTCTCTACTACTGTTAGCAAGTAAAGAGAATGGTGCAAAGCAAATAAACTCCTAGAAGAAAATTATTCCTTTTAGGCCATTGTCCTTTTTTCATTGCTTTCTCTCCTTTTTATAAGTAGGTGGATTCAGCCTGCCTGTGTACATGATGTACATTTACATTGGGGCTGGAGCTGCTGGGCTTGTTCTGCTCATTGTCATGATCATACTAGCAGTGAGGCAGAGGTAAGATCCCACAAAGTATTTTCATGCATCTTTAACACATTAAACTGCATGAATGCAACAACACAGGAATTGCTACTCTACCTAGAAACACATTAACTGCAGTGGTACCTGTCATAACCTGTGTTCCAAACCACATATTTGCAAAACAGTAGAATAGGTGATTACCACTGCAGCATTGCTTACCACTAACCATGTTACAGTATCACAAAGTACTGTAAACCAAAGTATCTGTCAGTTTTATTTAAAGAAGGGTTCGGTGCCACCAGGTTACTGTCACAGTTCTCTGTGGAAATCATCAATTTCTTTACCCCATTTCATGGCCATCCGTCTGAAAATTGTCAAGATGTTTGACCCCTAATAACGAACATGAACCTAATGATGAAGCCAGAGGAAAAGTCTCCAAAGTCAAGAGGACTCATCCTCTGGGGACCATAAATGTTTGTACAAAATGTAATGGCAGTCCATCTAACAGTTTTAACTATGATTGTTTATTATTTATTATTAATCTTAAAAAACAATATTTAATCTAAGTGCAAAGGTCCACTTATTTAGTACTGAAACTTTCACCCCTTTCACAAAACCCCAGGGGGTCCAGCAGTTCTTCCATCATTTCTAAAGTAGGAATTTACATCTAAGGCTGCCCTCATAAATGTCCAGTTCTGTTGTGCTGTATACTGATGTTAAATTCCAAAGTTTTGGTATTTTGAAGTATCTCCAGTTCTAATTATTTACCAAAGGAAGAAGAACAGGAGAGAGGAGTACAGAGTCAAACTGAACCCACATCAGAGACAGGTAAGCATTGCATTATTTATTATATCTACTCTTGTGTTCACATTTGACACTTGTAAAACACTTCCCTACCTTCTCATCAGATATGCACTTAATTGTAATACCATTACATTTGACTATTAATCTCATATGATACAACGCATCCCATTGTTATGTGACCTGATACGTTGTAATTTTGCCTTTTTATTTTCACTGACCTAATGCTGTTTTACAATATCTGACAGTGAAAAATATTTTATCTTTAAATTAATTGGCAATGTAATAGAAAATGTAATAGTAAGTACAGATTATTTTCTCAATTTTCATAAAATTAATACATGTAATAATAATAATGTAAAATTCAAATTATTCAAATCTTATTTCTTTCTCACTCATGTCTTCATTAAATAAAAATTTAAAAGAAAAATATTTTGCATTTACTATATTAATTCAAAAACCAATTTCTTACATCTTTAATGATTTAACAACAGCTGTGTAACAATGTGATATTATGTTGTCAGAGCTGTGACATTTTTATTACTTTTGCTAAGCTGCTGCTGAGTCATTACATTATCACCTGCCACATGTCCTTGTCTAACACCTTAAATACTAACACAATTTATCACGTTTTCACAGCCAAACTTCTATGAGAACATCCCTGTGTGCCCCAGGATTACAAAGAAGTCCAGGCAGATAAAAAATGTCCCTGTGTATGCCAACCTACAAACTGTACGATCACATAAAACCAGATGTCAGTCTCGTGACAAATGAGCATCCATAAATAGGATGTACTGCATAAAGTGAATGTTTAGTTGTATCTGTCACAGCTGTTTGTGTGCCCGGAGTTTTTCACAGAGCACATTCATGTATATATGAGCAAAAATAAAGGTATATTGAAAAACCACAGATTATTTAGTTATTGAGTTTTTAATATGATGCAGGGATAACACTGACACTGGTTAATATTCACTCTCCAAATGAGTTAACAAGCTGGTGCCTGTGTAAGTCCCAGAAAGCTTGTTTGGGTCCAGCTGTGCTCCCACTAATTAAATGTAGTATGTACTGTGTAATTACTGTTGAGAAATTATTTGCTTTGGGCAAAACAATATTTGGCAGTAAGCATCATGCAGAAAGAGCAGACAAAAGCCTGTATAATCAGTCTTTTCACTTCCTTAACCCCCATGTAACACAACTGACAAAAGCCTGTGTAATTGCGCTCCTTTTACCTTTCATCCCTCCTAGTTTCCATTCAAAGCATGACAATAGTGTCTAATCATCTAACAGAAGAGAAAAGCAGTCACTCAGCACTGTGCCATCACTTGAGACTGCTGCTTTCCCCAAAGGGCTTTCTGTCTAGGATGCACTCTAGTTACAGCACACTCTAATTTGTGCTTTAGTTTATAGCTCCTTAAAAATTTTCTGTTTACTGTTTATCATAAATGTTTAGGTTCTCTTCTTCTACTACTTTTTTTACTGTGCTTTAGAAAATGCAATTAAAAAACAAAAACTTTATGATGCTGTCACAAGAAGTTATATTAATAATGTTTATGATTTCAAAGCTTGCCTCTATGTTCTTGTAAATCAATATTCAAAGTTTATGGTAGTGCTATTAAGCTGTGTGTTGTTTATGTGTAATGTGATTCATTTATCTCCATAGAGATGGAGGCAGTGGCAGGGGCAGAGTTGTGGGCTATTCTGACAAATGTGGGACATGAATGGACAATGTAGTTTGGAATCACATGTTTTTGCTGTCATTCTTTCATCTCACTGTTGCTAACAAAACAGTAGAAGCTGCAACTGTACATTTGACTGATACTTGTAATACTGTGTGTGTGGCTAGAATTACTTAAACTGATAAGTGTGACTGTAAATGAGTCTGTGGTCTAAATAAAAAAAAAAATGTCATTGCCACAACCTCACTTATTTCCTGTGATGTAGGTGTGTGAATGAATTGATGAAGGGTTGCAGGTTGAAAAGTAGTTCTAGGAAACCAAACTGTTAACTGTAATACACAGGGGAAGTACTTTGCTTTCAGTAACCACTTAAATTCTGATGGGATAGTTTTCCATTTTGAGATGTATGTTTGCGTTCTTGCTGAGAATGAGATAAGTTTCATGCCTGTATGCTAACTATGAAGCTTCAAATTAGCTCAGCTTGACATAAAGACATGGCCTTTTTGGAAGGTAACAGATATCCAGCTACCAACTCCTCTCTCATGAGCACACTACATATCACTTAGTTAATCAATATAAAAATATGTAAAAATGAAATGTGGTTACAGGTGAGGATAGACAGGTTTTATTGCTTTTGCACAGCTGTCTCCACTGTTCCCAGTGTTTGTGTTATGCTAGGCTAATGGGTGTCTGATTGTAAGCTTTCCAACATGTTAACATGTTCTAGCTTGTTTTTACCAAAAGGTAAAAATGACAATTTGTGATTGTGTGGAGAGTTTTGTTCCACCTTTCTAGCGACTTCTAGTTAATTCATATACCAGGCAAATAGAGGACACAGTGGGGAAATGCAAGGAAAATGCTGATACATAATAGAACATTCAATTTATTACCTTTTTATCATCAAAAACATTACATATGTACATTTAGTGAAAACAGTCCTACACTCAATGAAATAAAAGTGCCATTAACTGTAAGAGCATAAAACATGGTGAGGACAAACACAGTTGTATAACAAATGATAAATGCTGCCAACTACTTGTTTCCAGTTATTTCACACAGCCTGCCAACTACTTGTTTCCAGTTATTTCAGTTAGCACAGCTCAAGATGTAGTCAGACTACATACATTTCTTAACCACACTTATGCTGTAACTGGGGGGCAAATGTGGCCAGATAGATCAACTTTCTGCCTTTTACTGCAGATCGAGACCTTTTTTTTTTAAGATGGGCGCTATATTTGTGGCTCAAATTAAAATACAAGTTTGGTTCTCTTAAATGCAATATTCAAAATAAAGTAACTCACTGAACAACTCAACTTTCAGAAAATAAATGTAAAAAACTATAACCATGCAGAGAAATCTAGTATCTAGCATAATGGATTTCTAGAGATTAACCCAAGGCAAAAACAAATATAGAATAGAACTCATAAAATATTAGGTTTGATGTTATAATTTCTGGGTTTTAAAGATTCAGATTCTTTGATAAGCCACAAAAAACACAACCTACTTTACAACAAACATTTGTAAAAATGAATCACTGTCTGCTGCCACTGGCAACAAGTATTATTCTCAACTTTCTAAATGATCTGTGGTTTTGTCACAAGTTATTCAGGTGTGACATTTCACAGCTGGCTTCGCAGTACTGAAGCTACTGTTAAATCCAAAGCCCAAAGACTTGGCCTCACACTCTGCGGTCTGTTTCAGAAGGCACTTCTTTCTGGGGGAGAACAAACATTACAGCGGTCATGTAATGGTTTTAGAGAAGACTCTATAAATTAACTCCTTTAAAATAATAGAGAGAGAAGAGTCTGACATTTTGGAAATTACACTTATATCTGTATGCTAACTATGTTAGTCACAGTTAGCAGCCGGTTAGGTTAGTTAGCTGCAAAGACTGGAAATGGGAAAACAGCCTTGTTCTGTCATTAAGCACGTCAGCAGACTAGCAGATATAAAGCTCGCAAATTAATACAGTATAGCCATTAGTTTAAAGCTAAACTGTAAAAATGCTTTTCGGTGGGGTGGCTACCTTCAGATAGAGCCATGTTTCCTTTGTGCTAAGCTAAGCTGATGTGTGCTGGCTGTATATTTACCATCAAGACATGAGGGTGGTATCAGCCTTCTTAAGTAACTCTCAGCAAAAAAGGCAGCTATTTTTCAGTATGTCAAACAGTTCCTTACTGACTTTTTTCAGTATTTTACTGAACACACATTTTCTCAGTACAGTACACTAATGCTAATATATATGTATATTTTCTCTGAAATGTAATCTTGTGTGAACTTGACATTCTAGCAGGGCAAAAATTAGCATGACATCTTACTGCCACATTGCACATGTGAGTCCCATGATGCCAGATTTACTTCTGCCTTATATAACTCACCCATCTGGTTACCACCATGTTGCTTCTCTCTCTCCCTTTTTCTGTGCTGATGAACCAGTTATCAGATTATGTGTATGAGGCTGGAGAAGAGCTAGGGAGTTATTAAAATCAAATTGCTCTGCTAGTGTGATGCGAGGCTGGCAGTTTAAAATAGAGGCAGGTATGAGAAGGCTGCATTGCATCATTTCTGACATGATGGCCCTATATCACTGAAGTACATTTCTGAATGACTTTTTCCATTTGCTGGTGGTAGCTGGTTAAGGGCTTTAGCTGATTCATCACTATCAAAGACGAGTGGTTTTTGTGTAAGGCGTTGATCAAGTTCACATTCTTGAGAGAAAGCAGAGTTCAGTAGGTGTGTGAAGATGAGGTGTCAAAATGGTTGTGATTCACTTGAAACTGTTGCTGAGGCTGCAGATTATTGGAATGAGCCTGATAAGACTTTCATCATTTTTGGAACTAAAGCCTTTCTTAACATTATTTACAGCAGACTCCTGTGTGTTGTGGTGTGTACTTGGTGTGTACGTTTTGTTTGTAAGGTGTAGTGCAGTGATTTCAAAAAGGGAGTTTGACTTTAACAGCATAATGACAACATAAAACACTTTAAGACTACACAAAGGATTTTTGGTGCAATATTTGAAGCTACTGCTGCTGTCGCACAGCATACAAAAAAAAGGACATTGTCGTTTCCAGGACAACTCTTCATGAACTGCACACACTCTACAGTTATTAAGTATCACCAGGAAATGACTGGCCTATGTTACACATGTCACTACAATATTTCTACATTCTCTCTAGAGAAGTGAGCAAAGTGTCCAGGTTTGGTTGAGAAAAACTCTTTCATTGAAGGGGTCTCAGATTGCAACTGGATTCACAGCCACTAGAGGGAGATGGTGTCACTTCTTGGTGCTGGCTCTCCTCCTGTCCTGGCTCATCAGACAAAAAGCTGGGGAACGTCTGTGCTCGGGACATAAAAGTCATTGTCAGTCCAGTTCCTGTTGAGAAACAAAAAGCGAAGAAAGTATTAGTAGGGCTGTTTTTGTGGAATAAAATAAGTTGATGATAATAAATAACCCATTTCTGGACCCTCTCCTCACCTAAGACCAGTTTTGCCTGGGGAAAAAAAGAGGAAGGGAGTCCAGTGCATAACCCATAACATCAAAACGATATGTGCTGTTTTCTTAGATAATACACTCATAGCTTAGCTGTTGCTTAGCTACAGTCTGTGCTGATATCTTTATAAAGAAATTAAGACAAGTCTGGCATTCTTAATAAGTTTTTAAAACTCTGATATAGGTGGTTCTCATAATACAAAATTATAAACCCAAAGTTTTTCAATATTAACATATAGCAATGTTTCACCTCAAATAAACAACTTCATGTCACTACCTCATCTTCTTAGACTGTCTGCTGTCTTCTTAGTAGCTGCTCTCTCCCTCTCCACATAAATGTAAATTAATTGGAGCGATTTGTTCTGCAGTTCATACCATCAATGACAGGGAGTAATGAATACTCGTGGGTGGCGGGCTGCTCTGTATAACTGTGAGACCATTAATAATATATTAGGATGCTGTTTAGATGCAGTGGTGGGCTGAGAATAAAGCGGCTGGCAGGGTGCTGATCATGCACAGAACAAGGAGGAAATGGCTAGTGATCAATATTTCAGGAGGTGCAAAAGCTAACACAATGCTGTAATCAACTCTAATCTATAGAATATATGGTACCTACTAATACAGATAGCTAGGAAAAGCTGCTCTACATCAATAGATTTCAAATGTTTCAAATAACTTTATCTACAGTGTAGAGGTTAAATTTCTCCCAGGGCCATACTGACAGAATTGACAAAGAGATCATTTGCTCTTCTGCTGTCGATGCTGAAATGCTTGTTAGTAAATATGATGTTAAGCTGTGCAAATCACTCATAATACAGTGAACACACATGCACACACTGCTTCTCCTGTGCATGTAGGCAGCAGTGCCAGTCATGGAGCCACCAAAGGGAATGAGGCTCAGGCCGTGAGACGTATTGCCAACTCACCATGACATGGAATATAAAACATGACCTAGTCAGTCTGGAAATCGGTGTCAAGTGACTGCGTATGTGCATGTCAGAGCCACACAGAGAGAAGAAGGAGTCTAGTTCATTTGAAAACAGTGTGTAAAGAACTAATGCACTAGTAGGAAAAGTCAGAGAAGGAAAAACACAGAAAAATGCATTTTCCCGTCTGAGTTAAGAGAACAGCTTGCAGGAAGGAGCACAGAGGGGCTGGTGTGGGTGTGAGGATGAGACCAAAACAGATGAGTCATACACACACACATGCATACACACCTTTGTCTAGTCTTTCCCTTCCACCACTACTTGGAATAAAGAAAAATTACATAACAACATAGCTTTAGGTTTTGAATACAGCTCAGTCCTGTTCTAGAAAACAATGCTCCAAGTTAAAAATGGGGACACTTTCACTTTCCCTGCTGTACTTAATTGATTGCTGAAATTACTTGTACGCAACCAGGCATATCCTTTTCACATCTTTGCCAAGACAGTCCCTCTCCTCACCCAAGGCCAGTTTTGCCTGGGAAAAAAAGGAATGGAGCCCAGTGCAGAGAGAGAGGGTAATGCAGAACTCATTATCTCCTCAGTCATAAACTGTGGTGTTTGTTGTGTGTTGCTAGACCCCTGACGAGAGCATGGGACACAAATGTAGACACACCTATGCAAAAAAAGAAAGAAGGAAAACAAATAATTTAATCAAAACCACAGAAAGCGAAGATGGTGCCAGTGTGCCCCCTCCTCTTCTATTCCTATGAGAGGCAGACAATGATTTGTCAGTGCCTTTTTGTTACTAGGGAAGGTCATGTCATCCTATCTGGCCTGGGGTGGCAGCTGCTGGGCCACAGCAGACAGGATCAGCAAGAAGGGCACTCACACACAGACAGATACAATGGTGGGCCCACGCACAGACACAGGCATTCATGCATGCATGTTGACACACACACATACATAAACCTCTCTGCACCTTTCTTCTTCACTGTGCGATAACCCAGATGGCATCCTAGTAACCAGAGAAAGAGATGGTGCCTGTACCATAAACTGCAGATTATGCAAGATGACATGCAGCTTTGTTTCTTTTCTATAGTAAAGAAGCTATGGGGACAAATGAAAGATCAATGCAATGTAAAGATTAGGTCAGTTTATTTACATTTGGATTCAAATAATGTATGCAGATGACTGAGATTTAAAACTTTCCACACATCCAGAAAGAAACCACAATAGCTGGACTCAGTTTTACCTGGCTGTAATATACTTTTTATATGATTCAGTTTTTACAGTTATTACATTCCATATTGCCTGTTGCATTTCAGGTAGTGTTATCATCCTGCTCTTCTATCATCTTGTCCCTGTGCCTTAAATACTTTCTCCCTGTCTGTAAAACCCCCTTGTATCGTTCGCAACTGATCAAGCTAAGAACAGAGCTCATTTACCATTAGAACTGCTAAACCTACCACAATAAATTGTGGAGCACAATAAAGTACAGAAAGTGGGTGTTATGAAATGGCAGAACGTTACATAAAACTAGGTCAAAGGAAAAAAAAAATGCAAGCATTCTTTTCCCGATTTCCATTCCAGTATTAGTGTTGGTAATTGAACTAACAGTTGTGGCCTTTTAAAGCCTGACAATTTGAAAGTGCACTTATTTCTTCACCTGAGCAATTTCAGAGAGCACGTATAGCATTTTCACTGAAATGCAGAAAAATACTAACATTTGGAGAGAAGAGTGTTGCTGCAATGTATAGTTTCCGGAGAATAAAACTTTTACCTTAGGTTTAATTAAAAAGGTGAGTTCTTTAGGGGTTGAATTTTGTTTCCTATATAGTTGCAATAAGATCAAAGTGGAGTTTTTTTTTTTACACCATTTCCCAAAGTTTCTTTTAAACAAAATACATTTGATAGTTATTATATTCAATTATGGTAAAGGAGGCTTCAGGGATGTATTTTTGGTACATTTCCAGTGAAATAAATGTCAGATGAGAAACATATTAAAGTCACAATTCTTTATTTGCCAGGTCTCTCATTAACTGAGGCAAAGAAATAAGCAAATAAGTGCATAAACCTCCATGGGACAAGAAACTGTGTTCCTTAATTATTCCCCTGCCCCTGCAGGGTATTTGAAAGCAACCGGAGCATGACTCAGCAAATTGACTGTGCTGATTGGATATTCATCATGCATGCAGTGATACAGCCAAAGAGCAAACACAGCCACTCATCATGATCCACATTCCGTTTTTGTAACCTCTATGTGTACCTAAATCATTATTCCAGGGACTAATAGTATTATTGCTATATCATTACTGAAAATTTATATTTTAAATAGTTAACCTACGCCACAGACTGTATACAAAAGATGGATGATGGTATCAACACTTTTCTCCACTATGCTAAATTGAACCCAACATATCTTGAATACAGAAAGGACGATGTTGGTATTTTGCAACCAGATTCTGCACAGTAGCGACCGAGTAGCCGAGTGACATATCAGACCGCCATTCCGAGCTGTCAAATCATCCAAAATACACCACTTTTTATAACATCAACTAACCTATTAAAATCATTCTTACCAGAAAAATGACCACCTTGGGTTAGAGCATGGATCGGGCTGACAAGCTTATAGTATATAATGCCCAGCCCAAAGCAGTTGATTTTGTACCATGCTTTCCCCTTATCATTAAACGAAGCAGACATTTGAGTGCTCGAGCCGTCTAACCTAAAGTTTTTACCTACGTGTCTGAACCTGACCTGAACATAATTTTGAAATTTCTGTCTAAACCCGGCTTGAACCCTCGAATACCACTGGGTCCCACCAGGCTCGGCTTGGGTATCTACACACTCAGATGGCATTACTTCTGGGAGCTGTCATGTCATCCATCTTCTATACACTGAATGACATATACTTATGTAGTAATCTGATTATTCACAGAATCAGAGTGTTGTTGTTTTTTTGCTTGCCAGAGCGTGTTTTGTCTTTGTGGTGATGCATTGGGGTGTTTGTTTTCGTCACATGGTGGATCATTAGGAAATTTCATGGTTTTACAAAACAATGTCTTTGGTCTGGGGTGGTTTCAGTAAATCAAAAAAGGTGCGCAACTTCCTTTTTATGAATAGTTCAGAAGGAGCGACCTTGGTAGTGGAGTGTGGGACATTCCTGTATGACAGCAGAAAGTTATTCAGTCTCTGGTGGAGTGAACCTTGTTCCACTGATGCCTTCAAGGCCTGTTTCATACTCTGGATGAACCTCTCAGCTAGTCCGTTAGTGGATGGATGATACGGAGCCGAGCGAATGTGTTGTATTCCATTTACATCCAGAAATTTCTCAAACTCCGGTGCAGTGAACTGGGGGCCATTGTCACTCACCAGTTGTTCAGGGAACCCAAATCGGCTGAACATTTCCCCAAGTCTCTCAACTGTTTTCTCAGTTGTGGTGGATCTCATAATGCACACTTCCGGCCATTTACTATGTGCATCCACAGCTACCAGAAACATCCTATCCTCAAATGGGCCGGCAAAATCAATATGAACACGTTTCCACGGTTCCTCCGGCCACTCCCACGGGTGAAGTGGAGCAGGCTGTGGCATGTTGCGGAATTTCTGGCATGAAGGGCAGGTCCTTGCAGTTTCTTCAATTTGCTTGTTAAGTCCTGGCCACCAGAAGTAACTTCTGGCAAGCTCTTTCATGCGGACCATCCCACAGTGTCCATGATGTAGTTGCTGCAACACCCTGTTCTGTAGAGTGGGTGGAACAAGTACCCTTTGTCCCCACAGAAGACATCCTGCCCGCACTGATAGCTCATACAGGTTTCTGTTGTATGGCTGAAACTCCGGGAGCCTGGTACTTCCACCATTAGTGACTACATCCATCAGCTTAGAAAGTACAGGGTCATTTCTGGTGTGCCGACTCACTTGCGAAGATGTGATTGGTGCACCCTCTACCTGTCGAAA